TTAATCTTTATTTCAATTCTTTCTTCCTTGATCTTTCTTATTACTCTCTTTCTGCTGACTTTTGGGTTTGTTTACTTTTCTGTTCATGATATGTTTACATAGAACTTTAGATTATTTATTTGAAATTGCTTTTCTACTTTGAGGGGGGCCTTGTCACTATGAACTTCCCTCTTAAGCCTGCTTTAACTCTATTCCATAGACTTAGTGTAGTGTTTTGACATACTTCTCAAGATATTTTTTAATTTCTTCTTTTACTTCTTCACCTCCCCCACTCCTTATAGTACCATGGTGTTTAATTTACATGCTGTCAATTTTTCTCCCTGTTTTTCTGTGAAGGATTTCTAGTTTCATGGTATTATTCTCAGAAATGATGCTTGAAATAATTTTTATCTTCTTAAATTTGTTGAGACTTCTTCTGTGCCTGAGTGCATAATCTTACCTAGAAAATATTCCATGTGAACTGGAAAAGAATGTATATTCTCTTTGGGGAGGAGTACTGTTTTGAAAATATCAACCAACTCCAATTATTTTATCATATCTTATTGTATCTTTGTTCCCTTATTAATTTTCTGTCTGAAAGACCAGTCTAGTGATGGAAATGTGGAGTTATAGTTTCCTACTGTGATTGTGTTCCCTTCCATTTGTCTCTTTTTATCTATGAGTATTTGCTTTATGTATTTAGGTGCTCCTACAATGAGTGCATATATCTTAATGAGTTTATTACCCTCATTTTTTATTGTTCCTTTAGTCATTATATCATGTCCTTGTTTATCTTTCTCTATGGCCTTTGTCGAAAAGTCTATTTTGTCTGAAGTCAGTACTGCTAGTCCTGCTTTCTTGTCATGTCCATTTGCATGGAATAAAGTTTTCCATCTTTTGACTTTCAATTAATGTGTGTTCCTCTTACTAAAGTGGGTCTCTTGTATACTTCATAATGTAGGGTCTTGTTATATTATCCCTTCTGACAATATATATCTTTTGATTGAAGCACTAAGTCCATTAACATTTGTGATAATTATTGATACACTGGTGTTTATTTCCATTTTTAACTTCATTTTCCAGTTCATTTGGTATTTCCTTTTTGTTCATTTAATTTCCTTTTTGTGGCTTGTTAAGTTTTGTTTCATTATCTTGGTTTCTTTTTAGATTTGTGACTTCATTGTAAGCTTTTGTCTTATGGTTACCTAGTTTTGTATGTATATTGACACGTACTATATTTGTTTCTTATAACTGATAATAATACAAACCCAAACCCATCCTACAGAGAAGAGAAACAAGAAGAAAACACTCTTTATTGTCCTGTTTCAATCTGTGACCCTTAAAATTTTGATGTCCTCTTTTACAACATCATATTTATTCTGTTGTAAGTCATTGTAGTTATTACCTTTCTAATTATGCCTTTCTCTATAGTATAA